GCAGGCACTCAAAGGGAATGGTGTACTGGGCAATGAACTCATCCCCAATGTAGTCGTCGTCCAGCACGACAAAGCGCAGGACGGCCAGCTCGGGCAGGTTGATCTGGAACTCCAGGCTCTCATCAAAGATGGGGTTGTCCCCGCTCTGCAGGGCTGTCTTGGTGCGGTGCTCAGCACAGTCAGCTGGGATGCCATGGATTTCGGCACAGACGTAGGGCTCCACCACCTCCCCTTTGGCCCCTGAGCCCTTGGGCTTGGGCAGGTTCTGCCCACTGATGACCTTGAGGTGCAGGAGCTGGGCGGGCACCCCGGGCAGGGAGTCCTTGGCATTGGCACTGAAGTAGGAGACCTCCTCCCGCATGATGGCTGGGCGGAGGACATAGCCACAGGCCCCATTCTGCCGGAACCAGCCCGCGTTCAGGTCCATCATGAGCCCCGGTGTCTGGTAGTTCATGGCCACCATCTGGCAGCCACACTTCCAGAAGTCCTGGGGGTTCATGTTGCTGGCGTCGATGCGCATGGGGCTGGGGTAGACGCGGGAGAGGAACCGCTTGTTGTAGCTGACCAGCTCAGCCGGGCACTCGTTGGCAAAGCGTCCTGCTTCCACCTCGCTGAAGGAGCACATCTCCCAGTAGCGCTGCCCACGCCGTGAGCTCTCGAAGTCCTGGAAGGGGACAGCCTGGCAGAGGCTCACCAGCTCTGAGAGCTCCCGGCTGAGGCGCACCCGCCGCGGGCCACCTCCCTCCGGTGCCTCCCGGTCCTCCTGGCCCAGCCGCCGTGCCAGCTCCCAGCCTTCCTCCTCATCCGACACCTCCCCCTCGCTGTCCTCACAGCTGGGTGGCAGCTTCTTGCCCTTGATGAGGATGCGGCCCTTGAGCTGCTCTGGGGAGGGCAGGTAGGACGCCACTGGGTTGGGGGGCTCCAGATACAGCTTGTCCCCCAGTGTCTTGCGCAGGCACTGGGCAGCGAGGCGCTGCTGGGGGGCCGAGCAGCGCACCACCAGGCAGAGGATGAGGGGGTAGGCGGAGGCGGTGAAGGCGTGTTGGTCGATCAGCCCCACCACGGCACGGAAGGGCACGCAGGAGGCAGCTGAGGGGCTGGTGTAGACCACAGGCTCGCCCTCGGGGCCATCCCACAGCACCAGTTCGATGCTGCGGCAGCCCAGGCCCAGGGCACTGATGTAGCCACTGATGTCCGAGCGGCCCCAGAAGTTGTCCTCCAGCAGGCAGGCGCTGTGGGCAGAGCTGATGTAGTAGTGGGAGAGGGGCTGTGCCATGTCCTGGCAGACCTTGCGGTGCTGCGGGTCGAAGATGGAGCAGTCAGCAGAGAGCAGGTAGCGCGTGAAGCCATCGATGGCCAGGTAGCCCTTCTCCCGGCCCTCCTTGGAGGGCTCATACTTGCCGACGATCTCCAAGCACTTCTCTTCTGTGACCCCCTCCATGCCCTGCTCCACCTCCAGGAACATCAGCAGGTCCTTCACACCCAGGTACTCCTTGTTGCTGGAGAACTGGACCAGCAGGAAGAAAATCTCAGGGCGGGTGCAGAGCTCACAGTACGCCTCCACGAAGAGGTCGCAGGCCACCTCTGCACCAGGACGCTCACTGGCCTTCTGCAGCTCCTTGAATTTCAGCTCAATGGTGGAGGTCTTCATGCCAGGGTTGAGTGCTTTGATCAGCTGCACAGCCCGGGACACAGGGATGCGACCAGACTTATCCAGGTCAGCGAGGTCAAAGACAGAGGAGATCCAGGAGGTCCGGAGGCTGGGGTGGCCGGTCCCAGGTGCCTCAGGGCTGTGCTTCCCATAGGACACCAGGTACCGCAGCCCCATCACCCAGGCGCTCACCACGTCGGCCGAACTGGCCACCAGGTCCAGGGACTCGTAGTTGTCTCCATAGATGATGGAGAAGGCACACTCATCCGGGAACTGGTCAGAGAGGCCATTGCTGCGCAGGACAGGTGTCTTCTTGCCTACACGCACCTCTTTGACAGACTTGATCTCAATCTTGGCCTTCTCTGAGTCCTTCTTGGAGGGCTCCCAGCGCACAGAGCGCATGTCGGCGTCCAGCACGAAGAAGCGGCTGTACATGCGGGAGTTGGAGCGCACCTTCTTCAGCTCACAGCCCTCCAGCATGAGGGAGATGCAGGCGGCCGTGCTGTTGATCTTGCGGTCATTGGGCATGGAGCTGAAGGACACCGTCTTCTTCTTGTGCGGCAGCCGCTGCCGGGAGCCATCCTACCAGGGTGGGAAAGGGACAGAGCTGTCAGGGACGAGCAGGCAGCATGTGCCCCTCCAGGTCCTGCCTCAGGGTCCCCTCGCCCCAGCCCAAAGCGAAGTGCAGCACCCCAGGGTGCCCCAGGGTGTCCCAGTGCCACAAGAAGCCCAGTCCAACCCGGTCCACCCCTCTCCTGGGGGCTGGGAGCTGGCTCCAGCCCTGGCCTCCCCCACGGCTTGCTGCCTGGCTTAATTTAACTCTGCTTTCCTTCCTTCCTTCCTGCTCCCGGCCCTGAGACAGATCCTTCCCCACTGCTCATTCACCCTCGGAGGTATGGCCACTCAGTGGCAGCCCAGCATGGGGCTGAGGACACTGGCTGGGGACACCAGAATTAAAACCGATGCCTGGCATGTGATGCATGAGCAGAGATGCTCCTGGGGAACCCCAGCCAGACCCTCCAGCCTTCTGCTAGGAGAGGGGCAGGACAGCCCCTGCCAGTGCCATGTGCTAGGGATGAGCACGGCCATGGTCCCGTCCTGCAGAGTCAGGGGTCACGGGGGTATGGGCTGTTCGCTGCCAGCACCCCATGCCTGCACTCTGTCCTGCCCCACAGTGAGGAAGGTGGACCCTGCTGTCACGGGGCTGGGAGGGGCAGGAGATGAGGGGGAACAGCAGGGCCAGGAGCGTATTATGGGATGGATTTCATTAAGTAGCGCAGTAGGAGGAGATTTAATCCACTTCTTCAAGATTATGGTTGAGTCACCTCTAATCTGATGGTGTCCCTGTCAGAAGCAGGTTCTGCCCAGCTGCCCAGGTTGGGGGTGAGGAGGTGTTCCCCTCCAGTGTCCTGAGACCTTCCTCACCTCCTGCTTGGGGCTGTGCCTGGACAAGTGTGTCCCTGTGCCTGACCCAGGGGGCCTGGGATTTGCCCCTTGGGGCCAGGCAGCCCCAGCCAAGGGCAGTCTGGACAGGTCACAGAAACGGGTGGACGGCTCCTCCAGGGATGCCTGTGACACAGTGGCCCAGGGATGGGGGACCCAGCCCCAGCCCGCATCCCATTGTTAGAGCCAGCCAGATTCTGCTGTCCCAGAGCTCAGATGTGTGAGCTGTTTGTATCCTCTCACTGCCAGATTGCTCCAAGGAGCTGGCTGAGCTCCAGGACCCCTTCTCCGTGCCAGGCAGCCTGGGTCGGCAAGGGCTCAGCGGCAGGTCACGCCATCGGACAGCCCTGCGGCGAACGGCTCGGCACCGGATGCCTCCTGCAAGCTGCAATCTGAGCGCTCCACTGACGAGCAGCCCCAGCCCTCGCCCTGCCGGGGGGCGATGGGCACCGAGGGCAGCACCTCCTGCCCCGAGCAGGATGCCCGCACCTCTGCGGACCCGCTCCCCGCCCGGCGCACCCACCCAGTGCGGCTCCGCACTGGGCCCCACAGCCGAAAACAGGAAATCCATCCGGAAAGGAAACACGGGCGGGGGGCCTGCGTGCACCCAGCGCCAAGGACCTGCTTCCAGCTGTGCCCACTGCAGGCAGCCAGACACACCCGACCTCACCAGCCCTGCTGGTACCCCAGCCACCCTGGCTCAGCACAAAAGCCCGAATGCCTTCCCTGCAGCCCCCCATCCCCCCAGGTTTGGGAAGGGGAGAGAGTCCCCTTTGCAGCACTTTGGGGTGCAGATATGTGGCACAGACCCAAGAGTGCCCTGCAGCACATGGGCTCTGCTCTCCCTATGCATGGGCCAGCAGCAAGTGGTGGGCACTGGGTGCAAGGGGTCCCCTGCCCGAAGCTCCTCACTCCTGGAGACCAGCAGGGAAGAGCCACTGCTCCCTGGTAGCCCCTTCATAGGCTGTTCCAGGTGGTCTTCAACCCTGGGGACACCCCACGAGGAGCTGGACAAGGCACAAGCAGGAGCAGCAGAGGCAGGTGACAAGTGGGGCAGCAGCAGAGCCAGGAGGATGTGACGCCCATGGCCACTGAAGCACAGGGCATCCCCAGACAGAGGGCAGGGCTCTGGCCAGAGCAGTGATCCTGGTCACTGTGCCACCAAGCTGGCAGAGAGCAGGCAGGGCTCTGTAGAGGGAAGTACCAACCATGATGCTGATGCCACCCAGGATGCCACTGGTGGGCATGGAGGGCACGTCCCAGTTGCTCATGCCCTGCCCAACTCAGCAGCGTGTGCTAAACATCTCTTCAGCCAATTACCTCCTGTATTAGTGCCCTGGAGAGTGCTGCTGCCCTAATCTCAGCCTCCACGTGACGGCCACCACTACCGGCCACACAACCTGCTCCCAAGCGCAGGATGAAGAAGGGTCCATCATTTGTCCCTCCCTTCCCCATATCCTCCAGCCTGGCCATGACAGGACTCATCTGCAGCTGATTTCCCCAGGTTCTGGGGCTGGGCAGCACTGGCAGGGATGCAGGCAGGGTGCAAGCAGGCAGCAACCCCAGAGCGGAGGCAGTAGGAGACACCATCAAGGCTTTTCTACCATCATTTGTTCCCTGCCAAGAAGAGAGCGACTGACACATCCACTCCCCGCAGCACCAGCTGCCGCTCCCCAGCGAGGGGCCATGGAGCCAGATCCCAGTGGAGGCACCACGCAGCTCCTGGGGCTGGCATGGGATGGGGAGGGGACACAAGAGGTAGGACAGTGAGCCGCTCGGGTAAGGCCACCTCCTGCAGCAGGAAAGAATAGATTCAGTACCGCCAAGTCCCTCTCCAGCATCCTCCCAGCCCACCGGACCTCCAGACCCCTCTGCTTCTAGCCTGATAAGAGAGAAGGGAGGAGATCCTGCAGCCAGAGCACAGGAACACTGCAGGGGCCAGCTCTGGATCCCACTGCTCCAGTCCCCCCCAGCTCCACACAGCCAGTGAGTCGCTCTTTCAGATTCACTCCTTCAGCCTTTTCTGGAAATCCCAAAAAATAACAGAGCTGGCAGCTCTTCCCACACGTGCCTCCACTGCCACTCAGGCCCCGGATGGACTCGGGGATGCACGACGGATCAACACAAGACGGGGACACTGTCCGGGTCTGACCCCCTCCCGGGCCAGCTCCCTCCCCCGCCTGCGCTGGCCCTGGGCCACCCGACCTTCACGTGAGGCCAAATCCCGCGGTGACGCAGGTGGTGACGGGGATGTGCCCAGCCCGGGGGCAAGTGGGAGGTTCACCCC